AATAATTTATAATAATATTTTTTTACTTATAAAATTTTTAAAAAAAATAAAATTTAAAAGACTAAAAATAATTTTTTTTAGTAAAATTTTTATTTTTCTTAAAATCAAATAAGAAAGAAGACTCTTTTAGAAACTTTAAATGTTAAACTAAATGATTTTTTCTTCTTGTATAACAATAAATAAATAATAGACAATATGAAGGTATATTAAATCATTTTTCAGTTTGATTTATGATACACATATTTGTTTAATGTAAGAACTAATAATTTTATATCACAGTTTTTTAAATTTTTTTAGCTTATAAAAAAATACTGAATCATTTTTTTTATGTTTTTCTTTTACAAAAAATTTAGTACATAGTAATTCCTATTATTATTTTTGTATAAACTTTCAATTTTTGTAAATATATTTGTTTATATAGAATTTTTAATATTTTATATGATTTTTATTATATAAAATAAATTATATTTTAAAAATTATTATAATTTTATTAAATATTTATTATCACATGCAGTTGAAGAATTAAATTAAATTTTTTTAAGAAAAGTTAATGTTTGAAATAATTTTTCTATATATTAAATCTTTATTTATTTTAAAATAAAATATCTGTCTTTTGCATGAGCTATTAATTAATTAATTAAATGAAAAACAGATATAATTTTTATATTAACTAATAAATATTCTTATGTAATACATGAGTTTGCTTATATTTTTTATTATTTTTATAATAAAAATTATAATTTAAATATAAAAATTAATGAAGCTTTTTCATTCACAAGTGCAGAATTCAACTACTAGTGGTCAGGCTAAGTAGCCAATGTCTTTTTGGCTGACATTTTGGGACACTCCATTGTTGTAAGTAAAGTAAACAATCAACTTAAACAGAAAAATTATTATAAAGACTTAGTTCAAAGAGAGAGACAGAAATTAAAACAAATGTTATTATGAAAATTTGATATAATTTTATTAAGCTATATTATTTTCTATTATTGACATTTTTTAAAAATCAAACTAAATGACTAAATTATCAAATCACTTATTTTATTGTTGGACTGAAAGGTAAACAAAACACTTTTTAATAACTATGATTTATTTGTTATAAAAAATGATAGAAGCATATTATTTCAGTAACAACATATTATCTCACCTACAATAAAAAAAATGCATTACTTTCTCATTTGAACAAGTTCAGAATTGTTGGCTAATGTTCTTTTTACTCTTCAACACCATAAGTGTTGTAGCATCTCTACATCCCTTTGTACATACTATGTTAACATCTTTCATTGGCCTAAAACTCAAGCAGCTAAAGGGAAAGACTTTAGGCCTTATATATATATATATATATATATATATATATATATATTATTAGCACTAAAATATTTTTAAAAAATGAAAATTATTTTTAATTAAAATAGTCTAAGTGACTAATAACTTTTTATTGATACTACAAATAATATTTAATAAATAGTAATTTCTTCAGATAATAATAAGTAATAATTTTTAATCAATAAATAATAATTTTTTTATTTTATTTTTTAAAGAGAATTTTTAAATAGTCAAAAATTAATTTTTTTAATTTTTTATTTAGTTTTATATCTATCCTGCGAATGTGTGCATTAAGAGTATGTTGATAAATGAAAAGATCAATCTAAAACTTTTAAGTTTAATTGAAATTGTTACAGAACTTGATCCAATTATACAATAATATTTATTTTAGACATATTTAAAAGATAATTTATTAAATATTAATAAATTATATTTATTTTTAAAATTAAATATCCTAAAAAAATTATAAAATTAAAATAAGTAAACTAATCGACATTCTCAATTATATAAAAAAGTAAATTCTTTTTTAAATACATATAGCCTATAAAATAATGTTAACAATTCTGTTTCAATTAAAAAAATTAAAACAAATAAATAAAAATTTATTTAAAATTAATAATATCTCAACAAAGATTAAATATAATAATTTTATTATCTATTAAAAATAAAATATTAAATAAAATTAATTACAATAAATTGATAGATAATTTTATATTACAAAAAATTAAAAAATGAATTTTAAATAAAATTATAGTAATTTTAATAAATTATTTTATTAATAAAAAAATTTATTCTTAAATTTGTTTTAGGCTCCAAACACCTGCCCATGATCCTTCATCCTTTTGATCTAAAGATTGCAATGATTATGTTTCCTTCCAAAACTTTAGTTATTTTCCTTACAATGCATTTGCTTCATAAACTGTGATTCTCTTCCTACGATTATGCATGAATGAATAGACGATAAGGAAAGTTAGAAGTTTTATAACTCTTAACATTTGCAACCCCAACATGTTCATCACTAGCACATCATTTGTTATCATTGCCTTGCTACGTCTAATAAGTTTTGAAGCCAAAATTACACATGTCAATTCTTACATGAAATATTGCTTAATCAATGTTTAATAACTTTTTTGTAATAGCAGGGAGTCATTTTAAAAAAATTATATTTGAAGAATCAAATATAACAAAAAAAATTAATAGAGATTATTTTGTAAAAATTGTATATTTATATGAACTATTACTTATTTAAGTATTTATTTTTTCAGATAATTTTTATAATTTTTAGTATTTGCAAATTCAATGTCAATAAATTTTAAATTTTATCATATTAATTATAATAATTTTTTAATGAATTTTGATAATTTTTATAAATTAAGTCCAATCAGTTATTATTATTATTATTATTTTAATGTTATCTTTTAGAAATATCAATAGTTATGAAATAAATTTTTTAACTGTTACTATTTATTTTGCTATTTTTTATTATATATCTTAATAAGTATCACGATCATCTTATATATATATATATATATATATATATATATATATATTAAAAATTCACTTTTTAACATTTTTACACATATTTTTAAATTTTTTTTACTTAAAATTTATTAAAAATAAAAAAAATATAAATACATATAACTAAATTAAAAGTATATCTTATATAATATTTAATAAATTTTAAATAATAAAACATATATAAAATATGTTATTAAATTTTCTATTTCTCTCTTACAATGACTCTCCTGCGTTTTTTAAGGAGTGAGATGATAAGGAAAAGAAAGAAAAATGTAACTTACATCAATATCTGGCTCTTAAATGCTTTACCCTTTTCGCATTCAATTTGATTGCTTTAATGCTTTAAATATCATACACTGAGAAGCACATTTATTAAAGTTATTTAATTAATTTGTGCAAACAGTATTTAATCATAAATACATTGATTTATGATAATTTTATAATTTTTAATAAAATTTATTTTATATAAATTTTTATTATTTGTATTATACAGTTTAGAAAAATCATTACTATAAATTTTTCTATTTTTATTATTATAATTTTTGAATTACTAAATACATAAATATTAAATATTTTTATATTTTAAGACAGGAAATACATAAAATTTTTCATTTAATAATACCATGTAAATTACCAAGAGGATTATTAAGAACATACAATAAAATTCTTATATTAAAGTAAAATAGTGATTTTTTAAATATGATATTAAATTTATCTTCCATATATATATATATATATATATATATATATTAAATAATTAAACTAAAATGAGAATGCAATTATATCAAGGTTTTGTTAAACTAAACTCTTAAAGTTGAGTTTAAACATTTATAAATAAAAAAATTTTATAAAAAAAATACAGTTATTATATTAAAAGTTATAAAAATATAATAAATATTTTTTTAATAAAATTTTATTATTATTAGTTGTTTATATTCGATCTTACTCTTATATTAATAATATATGTTTTAGATTAATTATGGTAAAACTTTTTTTTATAGATTTTATTAATTTTAATTCTTAGGCTAAGTTTTAGAATACATAAATAGAAAATTTTTATAATATATATATATATATATATATATTATATTAAAGTTATAAAATTATAATAAATATTTTTCTTTTTAATAAAACTTTACCATTATTAATCATTTATTAATAGCTTTAAGAGTTGATATTAATAATATTTTTATAAATTTTATATTATAATTTACTGTCATGTTAAAATTGTATTTAATAAATTTGACCAAGTTAATAAATAAACAAAAATTATTTTTTATTAATATAATAATATTTTTACATGCACCGTATTTTTATATTTTTTCTGTATTTAAAAATTCTACGTAACAAGAGTTCGATGAATGATATATTTGTAGGTGATAAAAAAAAATACGAACATGATTTTAATAACACAGGCAATTATCATTTACGTTATTTTAATATTTTAATATTCAAAAAATAATTTATAATAATACTATTTTTCTCACTTATAAATTTTTGTTTTAAAAAAAGGTGTGTTACAAAATTAAAAATAGTTCTTTCTTTCTGATAAAACCTTTCACTCATTTTAAAAATGTTTTAAGAAAATGAAGTGTCAACTGAATACTTAAAATATTAAATAATTAAATATTTAAGATGTTAAATCAAAAGATATTTTGTTTTCATATCATATATGTATATCTGTATATGTATATAAATAATTCACAAATACACGTAAATAATAAACGAGATGAGGATAGATCCAATCCTTTTGCAGTTTGATCTCTTATATATATCTAGGTTTTTTTTATTCTTTATCCTTTCAATCACTCATGCAGTGATAGACTCCATTGTAGAGTAAACAATCATCTCAAACAGAAAATTTATTATAAAAAGACTGAGTTCAAATAGAGAGAAGGAAAGCTGACAGAGATGAAAAAAAGCATTCAAGATGACAACTCACTTATTCATAAAATCAAGGTACTAGGACTAAAGGCCAAAGCACTTCAGTTACAAAGAGAATTAAGCTAAAAGACACTAACAAACATGGGCAAAAACAAAAACAAGACTAAGAAACCCTAAATCCTAAACAGAAATGCATTTCCTCACTCACACTAGCCTAAGAAAAACGCTTAAACGCCAACTCAAGGCCGATTTAATCTTGTTAACTTGTTTGATCAATTCACTGATGTTGTAGAATTTTGCGTAGCTCGGCGACGATTGTTGCTGAGCCACACCAGAAACATTCTGCGGCTGATTCCCATCTCTAAGCAGAAACGTTGAATTTCGTCATTGTTATTCCTTTGAGGTCTCCACTCCAACCTCTCTGCAAACCTCATCATCCGGTTCCTTTGCTCCGGCGTGAACATCGTTCTCTTCTTCCTCTTTGGCTTCATCTTCTGCACTTCGGGGGTATCAACGCGACCTGCAAGTGATGGACTCGTTGCATTCACAACGTTATCCATTTGAGTTTGGGCTATGGGATTGTAAACGGTGAGTTTGCGGTGAAAGCTGCGGTGACACCCGCAAGCAGCACAAAGCATGGGATTGTTCTCATCGCACCCTTGGAGGAACTCATGGCATCCATCATAGGAAACTCGGCCCAGTGACGCTGCATGGTTGTGCTTGCACTCCTTGTACACCACGCTTTGCTCAAAAGCAAAAGCTCTTGCTGGAAGGTTGACGTTGATACCAGACATGGCTTTCTGAGATTTGAGATGTGAAAAGGACAGGATGCAGGTATTAGGTAGATGAATGTGTGTGCATTTGCATTGGGGAGAGGCCCTTAAAAAGAAGGGTAAAGAGAGATGAGGGTGGCCACTTGGAATGAGTTTTTGATGTATGCCATCACAGGTTTCCTCTGGATCCTAAAACTTGTCTTCTACGCCAAATGAAATTTTTAATGATTCTTGAAACGCTAATTCTTGCATCAAGGCAGATAATATTGGGTGTTTATGTAAGAATTAATTATGTTTCAATGAGGAGTTTAAATTAATTTTGATGTTGATAAGGAAGTGTAGAGTTTAATTTATTCACCCAAATTATATTTTATATATATATATATATATATATATATATATCATATTTTTAATTAACTTGCAAAGTTATTAAATAATATAAACGTTTAAGTTTGATTTTTTATGTTAATAAAGTCTTAATATATGTAAAGTCAAAATTAATTGATCTTATATGTCCAACTTTGACATTTACAATCCTGATAAAATTTAAGATTAATTAATTTAAAATTTATTTAAAAAATTCTTATCAAATATATGTTATAAAATTTTATAAAAAAAACAAAATAAATAAATATTTAATTATATTACTTATTTTATGAGTAATATAATTTTTAAATATAAAAATAATAAATTTTAAATAATATATAAACAAATATTTAAATTGTAAAATTTTATTATATATTATATTTTTATTTGTTTTAAAAAATACTTATATACTACACGAATGGTTAACTAACTAATTAATTAATTAATTAATTAATTAAATGCATAGTTGATATAATTTGTATATTAATTATTATATAAATTAATGATTTAATTGAATGAGATTATAAAAACATTTACATTATCAATCTTTTAAATTATTATTTATTTTAAAAGTCATAATATGTTACAAATGATATTAATTTAATATTAACACATTAATGAAAGATTTATTTTAATATTTTTTTTATTAAAGTGGCCATTAATTGATATCTAATGTAGTTTGTTTTTTTCATTCAATTATAGTATTATGTTTTCTTAGGAAGAAGTTATTATATTTAATTTTAAATCTTTACAGCACTACATAAATTGATTCATTTAATTCACAAATGGTTGATGAGATTTTTTTATATATACTAATAAGACTATTTACATTTTTTAGTAAAATTAGGTAAAACTTAAATATTTATAAGTAATTGTCAAATCAACTAAAACTTTATATTTTAAATTCATTCTTCCTGGAATTATAACTCAATTAATTAATGGGTAGTTGAAAGTCACGTTTGAATTCGAATTTATTTATTTTTGGTTGTAATTTTTTTTTATTAGTTTAGTAAAATTTGATATTTAATTAATTTTTGTTTAAATCACATTGTTTATAAGAAATGTCTTTGCTCAAATTAATAATAGTTTATTTTTATATTATAATAAGATTAACTCTCTTGATAGTCAATTTTACAGGAATCATATGACAATATAGGGCTTTGATATATAACTTGAGGATGAGAGTTGGTACCATAATTTTTAATATATTTTAAATTATTGATTATAATTTTTTGAGCAATGGAAACTTTATATGAAACTCATTAAATAAAAAATAAATATTACATAATTTTATAAATTTAAATTTTTTTAATTAATCATAAAATAATTTATTTAATTAGTTGTATTGATTAATATTTTAAGAGAACTTACTGGTATTTATTAATTAATAAATTATTTTGTTATATTTGTACTTTTGAAAGATAATTTTGGTTTTAACAATTTAAAATTTAAGATAATACTAGTTTGATTGTAATGATTCTTGCATCAATGTAGATAATATCTTGGCGGTGTAATTGCATTCCTTTTTTATATTAAGAATTAATTATGTTCCAACAGGGAGTTTTAATAAATGGTGACGTTCATAATAATGAAAGTGTAGAGTTTAATTTTAGAGTTTTATTAATTTAAGAAGAGTTCTGAATAAATAACTAATAATAGTAAAATTTTATTAAAAAATATTGATTATATTTTTATAATTTAATACAATAAATGTATTTTTTATAAAAAAAAAATTCTATTTATAGATGTTTAAATCCTGCTCTCAAAACTGAAATTAACAAAAATCTTAATTTTATTCACCAAATTATATAAATGAGTTTAAAATGCAGATTACTCAACTCATATACATAAATATGTATAAATCATATAATATTAAATTAATTTTAACTTTTCTAGATCAACACTTATTTTAAAATATGTATTCTCACCTACCAATTTTTACATAATTTTGAAAGAAAATTTATATTTATATTAATTTTAATATATAATATATTATTATAAATAATAATTATTAAAACTCACATAATTTTTATAAATTCTAAAAACTTAATTATTCATAAAATAATTAGTTTTGTCGTATTGATAAATATTTTAAGAGCACTTATTGGAATTTATTAATAAATAAATTTTGTTTTTTTATATTTATGCTTTTGAAAGAAAATTTTGTTTCTATCTAGCTATTTAAATTTAAGTTAATATTAATTTAATTGTAATGATTCTTGCATCAAGGCAGATAATATCTGGGTGGTGTAATTGCATTCCTTTTTCTCATATAAAAATTAATTATGTTTCAATATGGAATTTTAATAAATTGTGAGGTTCGTACGTAATGAAAGTGTAGAGTTCAAATTTATTCACCCAAATTATATATAATATATGACTGCAGGTTTCTCAATTAAGAAGGCAAAGTACTCAACTAATATTGGTCATATACATAAGTATGTATAAATCGTATAATATAATATCATTTTACCTTTTAAAAGATCAAGATTAACACTTAGTTCAAAATATATATTCTTAACTACCAAATTTCACACAATTTAAAATAAATTAGTGTTTCATTTTATTTTAATATATAATATATTATTAAAATAAATAAATAAATAATATTTTATAAATTATTCAGAATATTATTTTATTAAATTTAATAATATATAGCCATACATAAAAATCTACAATTCAAAACATATTAAAAGTCAAGTTTACTAAAACTAAGACTCGTTAAATGATTTTTTAAATGTTTAAGTAATAATGTTACAAAATGAAAATTAAATAAAATTTTTATTTAATGATTTTATCTTGTTAATAATTAACATAGACAGGTAATTAATACCCAAAAACAATGTCTTTGTTTTACACAGTTATATTATATATACAATTCTAAAATTAAAAAATTATTAAAAATCACATATACTTAAAAATAGGATTTTAAATATTTTTTAAATTCTATTTAATTAACAGAGTAACAAAATGAAAATTAAATAAAATTTTTATTTAATGATTTCTCTTCTTCGGAATGAATTGTCCTAGGAAGTGAAGACTTGCATTTTCTTACATGGCTCTTATCTTGTTTGTAAAAGACATAGTAATTTTTGTGCATAGTATATGCCCAAGTATTATTAAATTAGTTTTTATAAATAATTAAAATATATTTTATAATTATTTGAAATTTTATTATTTTTTTAACAAGTCAATATTATAATTATTAATAGTAAATATTTTATCATATTAAATAAATATAAAAAGAAATTTTAATTTAATATTGATTAGAATTTTCTCATTCGTTATACTAAACAATATTGTGCTTTATAAATCTGCTGTATCCATCAACCGCCAAGTTAAATTAGAGAATTTATAATTTAAATATGTTTTTTCAGTTTAATTTTATTATATTAATAGTATAATTTCATGACCCAATTAATTGATTTAATACGTTATGAATATAAGTTTTACATTAATTATTATAGAAATTAATGATATTTATTAATAATTTATAATTGAATGATATCATATTTTTTTACATTATCAGTATTATATTTTATTAATTTTAAAGTCATAATTTGTTACAAATTATATGAATTTAATATTAACACATTAATGACAAAATATTATATATATATATATATATATATATATATAAACACATTTTTTATTAAAGTGATTATTTATTGATATCCCGTATTTAATTGTGTTCTTTAAATTATATTTTTGTGAGTGTAGAGGTGGAGTTATGGGAGAGGTTTGAGATTGGAGTTGGAGGAAAGTGTGTGCAAGGGGAGGGAGAGAAGTTATGGGAAGGAGAAAGAATAGGATAGATGACTTTTTTTGTAAATATTAAAAATATATTAAAAAATTTATTTGTAAATAATAATTTTAAATAATAAAATATTATTAAAGTAAATGTCGTTATATGTCACGTGGAAGCCCAAAATAATTGAAATAAATTAAGTGGGGGAAATATATATAAGTAATTAAAGAAAAAATTAAAGTCCAAATCTTTTTTTATATTAAATCAACTTTGTGATTTTTTATTTTTTGATTGTTTTTCAATTCCAAAATTTAATTTTTCTAACCATTCCTAACTTTTGAATTTGTTTAGCTATGTTGATAAAACAAGCTCAAAGCTATTAGTCTGTAGTTTCTAGCTGTAAAGCTAACTAAAAGTTGTAAACTTATAGATAAAAGTTTATAAGAGTATAATTAGCTTATGAAATTAAATTGTTTGACGAACTAGCTATACATCTGACTAATTTATGTTAAATGACTCAAAAGGACATAAAATATTATATTTATATAATATTAAAATTAAATATAACTTATTTTAATATATTTTATTAATAAAAATGATATTATTAATTTAAATAATAACTTAAATTTACTTTTTAAAAATACTAATTTTACCATGTTATATCAACAAAGATTACATTAATCGATTCAAATAATTTATTCATCTAATTAATTTAAGAAAATAAATTAATATTAAGATTAATATATTAAATTTTAATTATGTGAATGGTAAGTTATCTTTTCAAATAGATAAAAGGTAAGAATGTAATAAAAATATTGATAATTAACATTTAAAATTTAAAAGTTTCTTTGAATAGTTTTTTCAAAGCTAGCCTTCAAAAGTTACAAACTTCTTTCATTTTATATTTATTATATAGTTTTACTAGTTTATAGACCAAGTTAATAAGCTATAAACTTGTAAATAAGTTACAAGCTATATTTACCAAACATAGCCTTAGCCTTAACGTCTGAGGAACAATAATAATAAGTGTTTGTAATATAATTTGTATGGAATGATAATAAGGTCTCAAATGCTTTCTTTTACTATAGTCGATGGGTATATTTGCCTGTTGGTTGAATACTTTTAGTTAAAATCTGCGAATACCTCTCATAGATTTTGAAATTTAAATTTTATGTATTTCAGACTCAAATATTTTTTTAAATAATTTGACTATTAAACTTGATTTTTAAGATGAGTACCAAAATTCAAGTCCTCTGTATTGACACTTAGGACACAAAATACAAATGTTCCACGATTATGTGCAGGTCAAAATATTAAAAACTTAATTATTGTAGCATAGAGCAAGCAATTATAGTTGTCTCTCAATGATCATGAAGATAATTTATCAATTTGAGTTTAGGATGGAGAAATTTAATAAAATGAATAAAACAAAATCTAAAACATGAAGAATTAATCAAAAAATTAAACATCTAATTCAAGAATAGAGAGAAAAATAACAACACTCAATTATTAAACTCAAAAGTAATAATATTTTAATTTGATGATTAAAACTTGAATTTAAATAAAACTTCAATCCAAACTAAGTAATCACACAAAAATCTTTATGCATTTGATTAATACAAAATCAATCAAAATTTAGAAACTTCTAAAATTTAATTAAAATGTATTAATTTTTTGTACTACTTAATTAATTTTAATTTCCTAAAATTAATTCACACACTTCAATGAATAATGGTGAATCAATTAATTCTCAATTATAATTATAATAAATACTTTTAGTTCATGAAATTAAATAAGTTAGAGAGAAAATGATAAAACTCGAATTGAAAACAAATGTTGAGAACTAATTTTTAAAAATGTTGTGTTTCCTTAATTCTTAAATTAGATAATAAAAATTACTCCTCCGTAGGTGGAAGCACACAAAAATTTAAAGTTGAAGAATAGGAAAGAATAATGTAAAAGAAAAAGGGAACTAAATCTATGTGTGTTTTTCCTCCTCTCTTCCTTTTTAATAGGTTCAAAATTTAAAAACAAAAAATAATCAAATCATTAAAAAATCTAATGATAAGTAATCTTAATAAAAAAAAAATTGCATTAAATTTAAAATTTGAAAGATACTATAATCAAATCAAAATTTTCATTTTTCTCCTTTCGCTTTTGATTTTAACTTAATTCTGACTCTGAACAACCTATGATTTTTTCATTAGATTTGTAGGTCCATCTCTTAACTTTCTTACAAAGAAAGAATCACATTAAAATGAGATTTAGAGTTAAAGTTATAACTCAAATTAAAATAATTGAATTAAAGTTTAACTCAATACTAAAAAAATAAAAGTGATCCAAATTAATTCAATATAAAATAAAATTTATGTACCAACATGCATCATCAAAATCTTTAAAATTATCATTTAATCCAATAAAGATATTTATTCTTCCATAACTCCATTAACAAAATTCTTGTATGAACTTAATTACATGACACAATAATGGTTAAAAGTCACTTGATTTAACGTATTATCAACTCTTGAAATAATCTCCATCTAATTTTTTTGTATACAACAATCTCAATGTCATCAATTTTGACTTTCTTTGTACTTTTCACTTTCAAGTCTTCGTCTTTCATAGAGTCACACTTTGATTCTTCCATACCATTGCACAATCTCAACTTCAATTTGTTTATACTAAGAAACTTGTTTTTCTCCTATCTATGCATACTAACACATATGAAGCAAAAACCCTTTCACGAACCCTAATTTTTTATTTGCACCAAACTAATGGATTTAAGTTCTGTCAAAATTCCTCAAGTCCAGAAATGTGTTGCCCGTTGCTCTTCTCTCAAAATTACAACAAGTTCACTCTTACAACAGATTTAGGGTCAAAATGCAAAACCCTAATAGAAGTCAATGAGAGAGAAAGTCAAGAGAAATATTAAGTAATATATGATAAATGATTTTTTGTATATTTTATTTTTGTAGTATACAACAATTTTATTTAACTTTTTTTAAATATTTAAATTATTTTTGAAAATAAAATATATCCATGCAACAAATAAGTATTATAACTAATTCTTCTATAATTTGAAAATGTTTATGAATTAAATTACAAGTTCATAATTTCTTTAATCTTGATTATTTTTTTCTATTGGTTTTTGTTAAGGCAAAAATATTTAAAGTACAAAAATTTAACATTACCTTTATTTATTTTATATAAAAATATTATTACTATTATTATTATATTTATCGTTGTCAACATTTCTGTTGTAATTATAAAAATAATTTTGTTAGTTTTAACTTTTATGATTGAATTTAAGATTCAAAACAATAATTTTTTTACCTTTATTTATTTTATATACAATTATTATTATTGTCATCGTCGTCAACATTTCTGTTGCAATTATAACAACAATTTTGTTAATTTTAAGTTTTATGATTGAATTTAAGGATTCAAAATAATAATTTTTATTTAAAAAATATATATTATATTTGAGATATAACAATATAATTTTTATAAAAAATATTTTTTTAATATATTCTCAAAGACTAGTATTTTTTTAACATTAGATACACCTCATTAAATACTTTAAATTACTATAAAAAGTACGTATTAAATATTTTTATGATTTTAATATCTATCATTTAGATAATAAATTATCATTTTTGTATATCTAAATTTATCTCTAAGGTTGAAGTTGGATTTATGATTGATCTTAAGAATATATAAATAGTAAATTTTTATTAAAAAATAATATTTATTATTATTTTTACAAATTTCAATAAAATATATTATTTTAACAAAAATTACCATGTTTTATTTTCAACTTAAAGATTGAGATTAATAATCTTTTAAAAATATGACAGGTTATTTATTTGTTAAAATATAAGTAAAAAATTTCCTTTCTATACAATTCTTCAATTAACTTTTTGAGCTTTATTTATTGAAGTGTTTATGTATATATCTTTTAAGAACGAGAAACTAGACAGGAAATTCATGGTAGGAGTATTTAAAAGTATTAAACAAAAGATACTTGATAGATAAAAAAGACCATATAAGATAATTCATGATATTTAAAATGATAGTTAATAATTAATAAACAAAACCGAAGATTAACTGAGGAGTTATATGAGAAAGTAAAAACTTTAACACTGGAAAATAATAGTTTAAAAACAAGCAATGAAGTGAGAAATGGTGAACCAAAAAGCAAAAAATTAAAATCTTGAGTTACCTAAGCATCTTATATATGCCCAGCCCATTAAATGCAGCCTTAATTCCTTTTTATTTATATTAATTAATTAATTGTTCAGGTAGAGAGAGAAAATGCACATGCAATCTCATTACTACAAATGGCGTTGAGCCTTTGGTAGTCTGTTCGCATTTCTTCTCCTTTGCTGTACATCTACAGTCCAAGACTGAAAACACTTAGCACTGAATTGAATTAAACAACTGGTTTCATTTGTTTGTGAAGAAGGATAGAATATCTCCACCTTTTTGTATGAACCCATTTTTCTCATTAATGGGTAACTTTTTGATTTTGATATTCTTCTCCGTTATCGTCTCCATGTCACGACCCTCTTGTAAGCACCTCAAAGTGATATTTTTTTTAATGAATAACAACACAACTCTTCTTCTTCATCGTCCTCTTTCTGTTTATTTATGGGTGGAATCTGACTGGGAATGCAGATGCATACGATTCGTTGGATCCTTTTGGCAACATCACCATTACATGGGATTTCTTGTCTGACAATGGGGATTCAATCGATGTAAGCATTTTTTCATTTCGATTGCTTAATTATTTTTTAATTTATTTATGTAAATTTTAATAACTTCTGTTCTGAGTTGGAATATTTGGGGGGTCACCGTCACTGTCTGGGAAAGTATGAAAGTGACGAGGGAGATAAATAATTAAAAAAATCAGAATGTCTGCTGATTTTCGGTAGTCTTAGGAAAAGAAGAAGATGGAAGGGTGCATACTTGTTGTCTTGTCTGGCTTTGTTTGTTAGGGTCATGTTCAGGTACTGCCGAGCTCAAGTTCTCAACACTGCACTCTGCACTCTTTCACAGTACTAGCCTAGATCTCGCTCAGGTTACCTCCAATTACCTCACGCCACCTCATCAAAAATAATGTTTGTGGCAGTAAGGGAGGGCATTCTAGTAATTCACTCTGTTGGTACAAGGTTCCTGTGGGTTGGTGGTCCCATTTACGGAACGTTAAACAAGCTTCACGTTTAGGCTGCAGTCATTTGATTTCTTCTCTCAGTTTTCATGCTTGTGCGTTGCGGTGCACCACTCGATGTCTATACTTTGGTGTTTTTTTGTGCGTTTTGTGCATTTTGGTTCACTCTTGGTGTTCTTTGGTGCCCAGTGAACATTGCGTTTTGGTGCAGGTCTCTTGGTGCGTTTGTTTATTCTACCTTTTTAGTTAAGATAGCCCACAATTTGATTTCCTTTTTGTTCAGAGTAGCTATTAATAGATGATGATGTATGCATTATAGAATGCCATGGCAAAAACTATGATGTATGGTTTATCCTTTACATTGTAGGTGACGGTATCAATATACAACTTCCAACTATTTCGCCATGTTGAGGAGCCTGGTTGGAAACTAGGTTGGGCTTGGAAAGGTGATGAGGTGATATGGGCAATATTGGGAGCAGAGGCTACGGAGCAAGGGAATTGCTCAAGATTCAGAGGACAACAGAAACCCCATTGTTGTGAGAAGGAGCCAGTTATTGTTGATCTTATGGCTGGAGCCCCCTACAACATGCAGTCTGCAAATTGCTGTAAAGGAGGGGTCCTTACATCCATCACACAAGATGTTACCAAACACGGTGCCACCTTCCAGATGAATTATATGAAAGCATCAGTAGGTGATACTGGTGCTTTTAGCATGCCAGAAAATTTCACTCTTGGAATTCCTGGTTATAGCTGCGGGACACCATTTCAAGTCCCACCAACCAAGTTTACCAAGGATGGACACCGATGGCAACAAGTCTTGGGTGAGTAGTGTTTTTGCTTTTATGCTGATGCTCTAATCAGAAAGTTTGACCTTTTCGGCATGTTGTGTCTATGTGAGAGCAAATATTCTTGAGAAATGCTAGTTTTACTTCATCTTTGTACTAAAGAGAAGAGAGATAGGAAGAAAAAAGAATATGTGATAGACTGATGTAATGGAGACAGATAGAAAGAAGAAATAGTGTCATAGACAGTGTTACAGAAAAATACTGTATGAATAATATAATTCAACATTGAACATTCTTTATGGAAGTGATATACAAGTAAATATCGATCTTGATTCTAACAAAACATAATCGCTACAAAATTTTCTAGTTTTTTGATGTATATATCAACTAGTTGGAGTTTCAGAGTGTGCAACATATGCATCCTATAAAGAACGTGACTTTTATGGCTAACTAACCAAGTGAGCAGAGGCTCATTCGTACCTTTGATTATGTCTCTGCCAAAATGGTTAAAATTAATACTCACCTCAGTATAAGACTAATAGACTGTTAACCCACTGACAAGTAAGTCCTTTGTGCTTACTACCCCCAAATGACTGTTTCCTTTGGAGTTGCTGTTTTGTTGAAATTATGTGCTATATGTTCTCTTTGATTTGTGCCATTTCAGATATCATTTTGCAGTGATAGGAAGGAAATAAATGCTCCATGCTGTTCATGTATATTTCAGAAGTTTTCTGTTTAATTCTCACATTTTTTGTGAATAAATTGCAGAGACATGGAATGTAACTTGTATTTTTTCCCAGTTTCTGGCATCACCTGCCCCAAAATGCTGTGTCTCCCTGTCTGCATTTTATTACAGTACAATTGTTCCTTGCCCCACCTGCAGCTGTAATTGCCAAGGGCTACCAGGAGCGAATTGTGTGAAGTAATTCTACCCACCTTGAGTTAATATTTTTGTTTTGTGCTTGGAAGCTGCTGCTCTGTTTTTATAGCTTTCTATTTGCCTAGTCCAGATTGTAATCCTTTATTCTTCAACCAATAATCCTTAAAAATGGGGTGACCAATTCCTACGAAAAGATGGGAACTTTTTAGAGGTGGGGGAAGAAAATTTTCACGTTCTATTAGGAAAACCTTTGATATTTCTCTTCTTTCTCCTTTCTCCTTTGATCAACACAAGATAGATAGAATACTGGAGTGGATACAGAATTATGCCTATAGCATTCCTTTATGGAGAGTGAAATCTCCTATTTATATGATTTCATCGTTATTATTATGGTATCCAAATTATGTTTCAGACTCTTAACTTGCTAGCTATATTGGAGGAGGGGTCTTATTCTAGTTTCCCTGTTAACGTGAAATTTTCAGTTCTGATAAGACTTCGGTGTTACAACTACCACAAACAAATGGAGCAGAACCACCACCACCAGTGATCAGGTGTTCACATCACATGTGCCCCATTCGTGTTCACTGGCATGTGAAACAAAGTTATAGAGAGTATTGGCGGGTGAAGATCACAATCACAAACCTGAACTTTGTCAAAAACTATTCCCAGTGGAATTTGGTGGTGTTACACCCTAACTTGCGAAGTGTAACACAAGTTTTCAGTTTCAACTACCAACCCCTGCCAATTATGGAAATTTCAGTAAGTCACTGCATCAATGTCATTTTTGATGTTAATTTGCTATGAATTTTACTTGAATAAATTAATGTTAAATTTCAGATGACACAGGATTGTTTTGGGGGCTAGAATACTACAATGACATGTTACATGGGGAGAATGGGAATGTGCAAACAGAGGTATTACTACACAAAGACAGAGGAGAGTTCAGCTTCAAAGAAGGATGGGCTTTTCCTAGAAAGATCTCATTCAATGGCTATGAATGTGTCATGCCATCTCCTGACGAGTACCCTCGCCTCCCAAACACAGCTCACATTGCAACAACAAACCCTCCCATACTTTTTCTCTCAATGTTACTGCTCTCAATATTCTAAGTATACATAATTTTTATGTCAATCAGTTTTATGTTTTACAATATTCATTAGTATAATTTTTATGTCAATCAGTTTTATGTTTTACAATATTCATTAGTATAATTTTAGTACATATTTTTCTTAAAAAAATATAAATTTTAGGACCTGGTTGGCTGATACGAGAGATAGTAAGTTTGTAGCTTTTAAATATAAATTTTAAAATGACACATGATCAAGAAAAATGAAATTATATCATTTTTTAAAACTTTGGCTTGTAATGGTAAAACAACATATTATTTTATTTTATTTTATCTCCCATATATTACTAATATTATTATTTTTTATAAGTACAATTATTATTGTTATTCTCACCATTAATCAATTATATTCATTATTATTATTATTAATTTTATTGAATATTATTATTATTAGTATTAGTGTGTACTAATCAATTATTGTTAATCGGTATTTTACTGTCACAATGGTAATAATAATAATAATTATTACTTTTATTATTAATTAATAATTGTTACTGTCAACAAAACAAAATAAAAAAATAGTGAGAGATATGAGAGTTTTTTTTATTTGAATTTGAAATTTTATATCAATTTTTAAAATTAAAAATTAAGAAAAAATGGAAACTAAAAGTATAAAAAATTGTTTATAATTTTTAAAACTTACTATCATTCTAAATAATGTATACATGGCTTGTATGTAAATTAAATGATTGTATGAATTTTATAACTATCTATATTCTCTAGCTATTTTATATAAGTAAATTTGACTGTATTTTATATTAAATGTTATATTTATTAAATGTAATATATAAATAAATTAAATAATATTATTAAGTATTATAATAATTTTGTAATATATATTAAGTGTATATATATTCATTAAATGTAATACATAATTAACTTAAATAATATTATTAAATGTTATATTAATTAGCTTTAATATATTTATTAAGTTTATGTATTTTAATATTATATTTTCTATTTTCAGCTGTTTATATATTTGATTGCTATTCTCGTAAAGTAAAATAACTTACAATGGATTTCAAACAGTTACATTTTTTTTTGTATATATATAATAACAAATGCTCAAATAGACGTATGCATACTTAGTTTAACTTCAATTTTTTTAAAATAATTATATTTCTTGGTAATTTTTTAAAGATATTTTTTGTAATTTAAGATGGAACAAACATGAACTAAATTTATTTAATTAATAAATAAATTAGTTTTAAAACCTTGATAAGGTCATTCTTTAGATCAATCCAAAAAACGAAGAGTATTTATCATAGGTAACAATAGCAATCATTCTAAACATGTCCTAACTACTAAAAATAAATGTTAAATATTAAATAAAACTAAAAAAAAAATATACTCTTATTTAAATTTACTAATATAAATACTTTTGTTTAAAACAGAATATAATTAAATTAATTGTGTACATTTCTTTTATAATTTTAACATTTATAGTTCCTAAATAATTTAAAATTTATAATTTTTCTACATAATTTTTTTAAAATAAAAACAGTATGCTATATAGTTTTTTTGTTTTTAAATATTTTTTTTAGAGAAAGAGGGAGATAGGGCAGTTGTATGTGCCAAATATAAAAGGCCCAAAAGCAAAGCTTTGTTTCTCTTCAGCTGCTCTTCAGAGTCGGCTTCTTCCTTTCGTGTTTCCTCCCTCCTTTTTTCTTGGTAAAGTTTTCATCTTTCTTCTTCTTCCTCTTATCTGTTTTTTAATCTGATCATTTTATGCATATCATATGCCATGATTTTTATTTTCCTCGCGAATCACGATCTGTTATGATTCTATCTTATCGTGGTACAAGAACTACACTTTGTTTGGTTTACCAGTAAAAATCCAACCTTTGTGTTTATATGTTCGAAACCCTTTTGGGTTTTAGCAAGAGTGACCCTTTTGTTTTTTCAGTTGGGGTTTTTTCTGTTGCCTGATTTTCCTTGTGACGTGATTGAATTGGTGTTCTTTTCAACTTTGTTTCGTTTATTCTTTTGTAATTTGATTTTCTAATTTTCTTCCATCTAGTTTCGGGTGTTGTCATCTAGGCGAATGAAATCCCCAAATCTTAATTGCAATTTACAATATGACAATTTATTAAGCCCTCTGAAATAAGTGTAGTCTTTTTGCTTCTCTGATCCCTAAGATGCAATAACTGAATAACTGTTAAGCCCTTCTCATTTTAGTCTGCTGATTGTATAGTTTTGGGAGGACATTGTGATGGGAATATGTTTCTTTCTGAGAGGCCAGTCCTCTCCTTTTTCATCTTTGCATTATGTATAACTTTCCCATGAGCTACTTGTATTCTGTTATGGGTTGTATGCTATGTTGAGAACTGGAGATCTAGCTGAGACTCAAAGACTATGTGCATGTTTTGGTTCTTTTGCATTGTACGCTTAATACTTTCCTGTGAAACAATAATTATCGGGGTCTTTGAGGAGGAGCAGTGGGTGTGTTGACATACTCTGGAACAGTTTTTGGTGGTTTCTTTAAAGGAATTTGGTGAAAGCAGAGGCTAAAATTTGGTAGCACGGTTGTCGCTGGTATTCTATAATCTGTTCATTGTTACATCAAGGAAGTTATTATTATCAAATATGCAGTGAGTGAGATTGGACATCCTTGTTGTATTCATAGCATTTTTTTATCACTTCATTGTTTGTAGACTTTCTTGTTTTGGAATCTCTCCTTGTCCTCCTAGTTGTATATCTCCTCTTTATTCTCTAATAAAATATCTTTTTCTATTTTAAATAATGATTTAGCTGTATGATTTATTGTCATTGGCTGATTAAAATTTTCTTTGAAATGCAGGTTTGAGTTGTTACAACGTTAAATTTGCGTGAAGTTATAGAATTTAAGATAAGCTGTTCCTGGTTCCATAGGGCACCATCATGGCTGTACATACAAAATTCCACCTTATTGCTTATTCAGAAGAGCTCGTAGATGGGCAGCCTATTTTTGTTTCTTCAAACTGTCTTCCTATCAAGGCTTCGAACTTTGAACCTGCAGGTCATGCCTTCCATTCTGTTGCACTTAAACTTCTTGGTGTTCAGGAAGATAGCAGAGATGCTGATAGTAAAAAAGTGGTTGATGATAAGGAACAGGCTTATTTCCCATCTGATTCTTATAGTAGCAAGGGCAAAAAGAAATCTGGTGCTGGTGACAAGCAGCAAGATCACTATGCATTGTTGGGCTTGAGCCATCTAAGGTATCTTGCTACAGAGGATCAAATACGTAAAAGCTACCGTGAAACTGCTTTGAGGTTTCATCCGGATAAACAAGCTGCTTTGCTTCTTGCTGAGGAAAGTGAAGCTGCAAAGCAAGAAAAAAAGGATGAAATAGAAAGTCACTTTAAGGCAATCCAGGAAGCATATGAAGTGTTGATTGATCCTCTGAAGAGAAGAATTTATGATTCCACAGATGAGTTTGATGATGAGATTCCCACTGACTGTGCTCCACAAGACTTCTTCAAGGTGTTTGGTCCTGCTTTTATGAGGAACGGGCGGTGGTCAGTTAACCAACCAATTCCAACACTAGGTGATGATAATACTCCATTAAAAGAAGTTGATAATTTCTACAATTTCTGGTACTCTTTCAAAAGCTGGAGGGAGTTTCCGCATACTGATGAGTTTGATCTTGAGCAAGCTGAATCTCGAGATCACAAAAGGTGGATGGAAAGACAGAATGCAAAACTGAGTGAAAAAGCTAGGAAGGAAGAGTATGCCCGGATACGCACTCTTGTTGATAATGCTTATAAGAGAGACCCAAGAATATTGAGAAGAAAGGAAGAAGAAAAAGCTGAGAAGCAAAGGAAAAAGGAGGCTAAGATTATGGCAAAGAGGTTGCAGGAAGAAGAAGCAGCTAGAATTGCAGAAGAGGAGAGACGAAGAAAAGAGGAGGAAGAGAGACAAGCCGCAGAAGCTGCTTTACAACACAAGAGGGTGAAAGAGAAAGAGAAAAAGCTTCTGCGGAAGGAGCGAACACGTCTTCGAACTCTTTCGGGACCTATTTTATCACAGCATTTATTTGATATTTCCAATGATGATGTAGAAAAGCTTTGCATGACACTTGATATTGAGCAACTGAGGAGTCTGTGTGAGAACATGGAAGGCAGGCAAGTGTTATTAGAGCAAGCAAAAGTTCTAAGAGATGCACTGAGTTGTAAGAAAGAAGTGGTTGATGAGAAATCCGATCAACAGAATGTCAATGGTTCCATAAAGGCTAATGGCAGTACTTCACTAACCAACACTGAGAAGAAGGAGAAACCTTGGAATAAAGAAGAGATTGATCTATTGAGGAAGGGAATGCAAAAGTATCCCAAAGGAACATCACGGCGATGGGAGGTAATTTCAGAATACATCGGTACCGGAAGATCTGTTGAAGAAATTATGAAGGCAACTAAAACTGTTCTCCTCCAAAAACCTGATTCATCAAAAGCCTTTGATGCATTTCTTGAGAAAAGGAAACCAGGTGCACAATCAATTGCATCACCGCTGACAACCAGGGAAGAATTGGAAGGGACATCATCAACAACCAATAATGTAGAAGACTCTGATAGCAAAAGTGCAGAAAATCAGAACAACACTACCTCTGCTAATGGAGTTTCATCGAATTCAGAACAGGATGTGTGGTCTGCAGTGCAGGAACGGGCACTGGTTCAAGCTTTAAAAGCCTTTCCAAAGGAGACAAGCCAGAGATGGGAGCGGGTTGCAGCAGCTGTGCCTGGAAAGACTGTAAATCAATGCAAGAAAAAATTTGCAATGATGAAGGAGAATTTTAGGAACAAAAAAACTGCAGTTTAATGTCCTGTTGCTTTTTAGATTTTACTACTAATTTTTCTAAAGAGTATACTTTAGTTTCAAATTCCTCCATATATTCTTAGGAGTTGATGGTTTCATCATTTTATGTTTTTCTTATATTATTTTTATGTTAATTTTTCTTACTGTTTTTGGTTGCCTTGTTACGGTAGATTTAATGATTAATACGGTTACTTGTATTGATTAAGAGATAGTAAACATCATTGTCATTGTAGTATTATGACCATTTTTAAAACCAATATTCTATCATTGAACACTATTATTTGGTTTGCAAGACATTTTACTTCTTTACCATTAACAGTTAATGCGTGTGTAGATATTAACCACTATTATTTGGTTGGTTAAGAAGCTTAAAGCTGTTTTAGGTGAATAAACAATATATTTTAGCAATTCACATCTAAGTAATTTTCTGCCAGAATTTAATCCTAACAGAATTAATCCTGAATATATCAAAGATTTTGCCAGAAACTACATGTTCTAATATCTAGCTTTTTTTTTACACAATTATGGAATCAAATCTAAACTAACTTAGTTTCATCCTGATGCACTTTATCTAAATATCTTTGCTTTATTAATGAATTATTCTATGACTGAGAAAGATCTTTTGTACTTATAGTGTGTTTTGTTATTATATCATTATTCCATAATATTTTTCACCTTCAAAATGTTTGAATTCCTTAATAATGGGTAAAATAACTCTACCTTACTCTAGAAATTTCTCATTTGGTATCAACCTATTCCTTATTGGAAAAGAGATATCCAAAAAGAAATGGAGAGAATTTGTATTTGGAAGAAAGTTGAAATATCTCCTAATAATTTTCCTCATCATGTGACTCTTGTAATAATTCATAGGCTATATTTTCAACATCCAACAACCAAATTATTGTACACTCAAAATCAAGTCAGATTTTGGAACACCTATAAAAAAATGTAAGATATTTTTTATCCGACAAGACCTTCTTTTGAACAAGCTAAGCTGATAGTTCATTTACATATTACTAATGGAGTCAGTGATCAAATGGTAAAGGTAAATTCCACATGTACAAAGTTGAAACCAATGTATATCATTTGTCTACCTGACCCTGGTGATGAAGGTATATGGAATAGAATTCAGCAAGTTACTCTTATAATCTCATCCAACTGTTAATTTGACAACTGAAAAAGAGAAGGCCAAATAATTCTGAGCAGAGAAGCTAAGTCATCCCAAGCTAATATGATGATAGATTCTCAAGATCCTAATAAGTCTATCCTGAAAGAAGCTGAATGGATGAGTGATGAAGACCCAAATATCTTTCCGAGTTATGAGCCTATCTTCAAGGACTAAAAGACAAAGTAATCTAGTCGAGAACTTTTATAAAAGTATCTTTTTGTACTATAAAGTATCTTTGAGAGTAATCATGTATTTAAAGTAGTTTAGCTTTGTTATAAGCTTTGTAAAAGTAACTTTATAATGTCGGAATCCTATCTGATTGCTTGTCTTATTGTACTTAGCCCCTCTATATAAGGGAGATTACTTGTAAGACAGAAGACAGAGTTGAATGAAATAAAAATTGTATGTTTTATACATTATGAGTTCATTCTAAGTTTCTCTCTCTGAAAGCTTTGTTTATAATGACTATCCTCTAGTCCCTGACTAGAAAGGAATATGCTCTGCACTTGCCATCTTAAACGGATCCTGTGCATTAGAAAATTTCTAGGTTTTAAATTCTGTTGCTACGGTCCTCTTTATCATGATCTATAAAGAATGATTATCACAAGCATAAGAAAAATACATATGAGTTTACTCAAAGTATTAAAAAGTGCTATTATTTTCTATCTGGGTTATGATATTATGGACACCTGACACACTAGTAAAGTAATAACCACAATTATTATTAAAAAATAAAAATACTAGTAAAATAATATCATAAAAAATACAAACAACAATAAAATTATTTTAAAATAAAATAACAAGTAATATTATAATTATTATAAATAAAAAATGTAAAAAGATTATAATATAAAAATAAAATAATATTCTAAAAAAGAATGTGCTAAAAAAAATTATTACTAAGATTATATAAACAGAAGTTATTAGTATGATATAATAATTATCAATGATATAGGAAGAAGTTTGGAAGTATTTTCTACTTATATAATTGATTTACTATATTATTTTTATGTTATAAAATAAGGTCAAGCAATATTATAAGAAAATTGTTAAAAGTAGTCTTTAAAATTAATTTTAAGCATCTAAAAATGAAAGTTGAAAAACTACCTGAAAGCTAAAATTAAAATTAAAAAACTAACTGATTAAATTGAAAATGATTAATAAAATTAACTATTGAACTATCTGATAAATGTAAAATGATAGATAAGAATATTATTAATATTTAATTTAAAATTTAGAAATTATGTACTTTAATAATTTTTTAAATTTTACTCTCATTTCAAAACATTTTTATTAAATGAAATGAGATAATATGAAATATAGTATTAATAAAATGATTAACAAAAGTTGAAAATAGAAAAGATAAAAGTAATAATGCTTTAGAAATTAAAGGGATAAAAAGAGAAATATCAAAAAATTATAAAAACAAAAGTGAAAAAATTATTTTCAACTAGAATCATAATAGTAGTGTTTAAAAAACTGTTATAGTGACATTTTAAAAAAATGTTAGTAACTAATTTTAACTAGCTTATCAACCATAACTATTTTTGTTAAATAAAATTAACTAATAAAATAAACTTTTAGTCAGTCATAATATTTTTTCCAAACACGGTAAAAATATTTAATTATATTAAGCATTATACTTTTTTTTTAATAAAACTTTATTTTTCGTTCTTCAATGACCGCATTAAAGACACCAGTTAGCAGTTACATTCTCCTTACTTCCAAGCAACGAACCTTGGTCCCAAACATCCTTATCGCCAACGTTATTAAGTTCATATAAAATAATCTAACACTTAATTCAAAGATTTATCTGTTCAGAAATTTCGTTTCGTCAAAGTTGGGCAGAAATTAGCAAAGCAGGATGAAGATCACGTACTGCTGAAATGCGTTTTCTAAATCATTTGCATTCCTTTTAACCTACGACTCCAAACTAGAAATTATAGGAACTTTTAATTATGGAGGACTTTTAACCATCTATATGGGGGAGATAAACACTACTTAAGGTAAAGAGAATACCAAACCAAAACTGTATTTGCCAGCAAAAGAGCCACAGTTTATCAAAATTTAATCGTATCACAATTAACTGAAAATGATATTGTCAGAGTTTAATAACAAGGACATCGGAGCAACTGAAAATAAAGGTGAGAGCCTCCATTCTGTTGGGGGCAAAACGGAAAATTGCAAGGCTATAGCGTAGATAACAATAGTTCTGGTATGGATACGCACCAAAAGGACGAAAATGGCAAGCAAAGAAGCTACACAATAATCAAACATTTGAAGAAAATAAGTTGGGATTAAATGATTAAATATTTGACAAAGAAAAAAAATGGAGCAGAGAATGTTGGGTTCAAGTACATGTTATAGGGACAGAAACTACATCTTATAATAATTGTCTCATGTTACTGGTGCATGTGAGCTAGTGTTCCTTATCAATGGCATTTCAACTTCCTAAGAGAGTATTATAAAGAGAGGAAAGAACTATGGTGCAGAAAGAGGAATCGGCTTCACAGAACTTTGAATGCGCCGGAAGGCTGTTCTTACTCTTTCCTTGAGGCCTTCATTTTCGCTCTCCACCTCCCCGCTGTCTTTGTTGAGCTCTGCTACATTCCCATCAATGTTAATTATCAATTTCCCGTTTTCGCCTACCTTTACATCTCCAAAGAGTGAAACGAGGAGGGCATGCATAACCTTCTCTGCCTTCTTCTCATTCTCTTCCTCAATTTTAATGGCATCCGATTCAGCCATTATTTTTGGGACATCACGGTTTATGTTTAAAATCAGAGCAACAATTGAATCTGATACCATGTCACTAATGGGGTCTGATGTCCAATGCAAGGAGATATGCTTTTCAGACTCATGCTTCACTGTCACACGCTCATGCACTTGCAATGTTGGAACTCCAGATTCTTCATCCACTGACTGCTCTACACTCTCATATATCTGTTTGAGTCTATGGCGTATGACACTGAAAGCACCTGAATAAGGGATGGTAATTCTCTGAGTGATGCTTGCTGTGGATAGTTGTGAGAAGACATGGAGATCATCCGGTGCCATTATCTGATATGTGAAGCCTTTCTTAACTAGCAAACCACTGACAGTTTCACCAACTTCTGGTGTTTTTTCAGCAAGCTTCCCAATGGTTTTTGCCATTTTCTGCGAATTGAAATACATTTCAACAGACTGACAGTTTTTTGGAGTAAGGATTTTAGTATTGCGATCGGCAAATTGACTCATGAGCTTCTGTTTCAGCCTACCCATCTCATTAGCTTCCCCATGAACAAGGATTATGTTGGGAGGATTGAGCTCTTCTAAGAATGCACTTGTTTGAGCAGAGTCAGCATGAGCAGAAAAGGAAATGTAGTGCACCTGCATGTTAAGAGGTGCAGTGAGTCCATTCATGAGAGTAACTTCCTTGGGTTCATTGATGATGGTTTTTGCCAGAGTCCCTTCAACAACATATCCTGGTATAATACAAGCATTTCTTTTATCAGAGCACCACATATCAAATAATTGCCGCGACAAGCCACTCTGAAGTCCACTAGGGCTAGCCATCACCACAGAAGGTCCTATATCTTTGAAAATTTCAATGCTGTTTAATGCTGATATGTACTTAAAGGAAAAGGGATTCGACTTGGCATTCTGGATCCTGTCATTCATGGAAAGGGTGTATGTTTCATACACGGTCAAACATTTTTTTGCAAGAGGAGAAGCATAATAGATGGGTATATTCTGGAGTTCAGGATGATTTGCCCAATATTCATCAAGGATAAGGAGGAGCTCCTGTGCACGACCTAGGGCAAATGCTGGAATCAAGACACGACCCCCTTGAGAAATGGTTGAGTGTATAACATCAATGAAACGTTTTTCTCGTGTGTGTCGAGGCTGATGGTGCTGTACACCATAGGTGGATTCTATGATGCATACGTCGGGGGAGAACTGTGGGGTCTCAGCAGCACGGAGATGCCGGTCTTCCTCACGCGAATAGTCTCCAGTGTAAAGCACTCGTACACCTGCAATGTCAACCATGAACATAGCAGCACCAAGGACATGGCCTGCAGTATAGCACCAGAATCGAATACCGTTCACTTCAACTGTTTGATGGAAATCAATAACCTGCAGTCACTAATTTCTGTAAGCAGATATAACATTGGAGTTTAGAGGGCAAAACATAATACCAGAGACACGTATTACATGTCTCATGAGAGAAACAGGATGCAAAAGAGGACATGGGTTGGGAGTCTGTCAATAAATAAACAGGCTAATAATATATAAACTACATCTAAGGTGTAAAAAAGTACAATACACATGTTTAAAATTATTAACTTTGGAACCAACATCTGGATTCTTTAGACATACAATAATATTGGCAACCGGAAAGGGGTACCACATACATCAAATGCGCGTTACTCCATATTTCTCCGCAATTCTACCATCATATTTCTAGCCTGATTTTGAATTGGTTTGGCAAACAAAAATTCAAGGAACTTCACTAGAAAAGATGCAGAGGTCCATCCAAAGTCTAAATGCCGATTAGTGGCATGGAGTGCGGATTCATAATGAGCTAACTAGTGCGAATGCACCAAGTACCATATTATCCGGAAGCAAAATCCTATTCGATAAATATGCAGGAATAAATACATAAAATAAAGAAACGGAAAACCTAAATCGAAAGCAAAAACACCAACCTCAATTTTATCCATGGAGCGGTTGATGTCCTGTTCATCATAGAGCATATCTTCCACAGAAACCTTGCTGACTTTGACAAAATCAGACAGGAGGAGCTTGTAAATGGCCTTGGTAGGGTAAGTCATGAAGACTCTTCCTCTGAACGTGGTTTTCTCAAGAAAATAGGGCAAGGAGGCGGCATGATCCAAGTGAAAGTGAGTGACGAGAAGAACGTCCACGGTCGAAGGGTCAATTTCGTCGAAGTAGGGTAACGCAGCCATGCCTGAATAAGCAGGGTGAATTCCGCAATCGAACAATATCGTTTTGCCTTTGTACGACATGTACACGCATGAACGACCAACTTCGTTTCCGGCGCCTAATGGCGTCACTATCAGTTGATCTTCCTCTCTGGTGCTCACGCTCTCGCGTCTCTTCGCCGAAGAACCCATTCCGATTCGATTCTCAGTCTCAGTTACCAGACTCACCTCCACTGTGTCTTGGCTTTGAATGAATGATGGCGAAGAGCTTGGAGAACAAGGGAACGGCTAAAACCCTAGTTCCAGAAACGACGTCGTCTGCTTTCAAGATTTCACAATAAACAAAAACTACGACCACAGTGGGAGTCGAACCCACGACCTTCTGATCCGAAGTCAGACGCGCTAATCCACTGCGCTATGCGGTCTTTGTTGACGTGTTGACCTCATGTATTTTATATATCAATTATATTATCATTCAAAACTTCATTAACCACGTTGTTACGTTTTCTTTCGTTCCCCAAATGTGTATTCCATATAGGAAATTAACATTTGTCAGCTTTAAATCTAGCAAGAATTTTCAAATAAAATTCTTAGATAATAAAATATAAAGTTTGAATATCATGAACTTTCATTTACTTGAACACTATTAATTATAAAATTTTATTAACCTCAGTCCTTAAAACTGAGTTTAAATATTTATAAACAGAAAATTTTTATGAAAAAAATACAAAGTTATTATATTGAAGTTATAAAAATATAATAAATATTTTTTTAATAAAATTTTATTATTATTAGTTGTTTATCCTCAACTCTAAAGAATGAGATTAACAAAACTCTTAAATATAATTTCTGTATTAAAATCACATTTAGATGCTTTTTATTGCATTTTTAAACACACCAAATCTATAATGCTAGGTTTCATTGTACGCAAGAAACAATATAACAATTACATCTAATATAGTAAGTCAGAGATCTCTGTTATGTGGATTCCGTTAGAAGGAACACTTTCTTCTTTTGGAGTTGTTTAAGGCGCATGTCACATTTCTCTCAAACTAGAAGGCATGAAATAATGGAAGATGCTCAGAAAGAGCACTCCATCAACACGCATTTTCTCAGAAAAAATTACAGCATGGATGCTTCGTCGCTCATGCCGTCCCGTTACATTCTTATTTTGGTCAATATTTGGCTTGTGCAAGATGATTATGCGAACGCGAATCTTGAGCCAAATGTTGAAAATCAACAATAAAATTACTTAGAGAACTTAATTTAAATACATTAATAAAATAAACTTTTTTTTCTAATAATTGCTTAAAAATGTATTTAAAATAACTTTTTAAAAAACTAACAACATATTTTTGCATAAAAAGTTTGCCAAAATTAAGATCTTACTTATAGTATCAGTAGCTCTTCTAACTTATAGTAACCTTTTTATAACGACAATCGATTTGGCTTGCTTTTCTTATCCCCTTTCCACTAGCTTCCCAGTTATAACATTACAATTACGCACGCTATGTGCATATGCATATGCATAATGCTCAATCTTTATACCTTCACTTCCTTGCTCAATTCTCGATGAAAACATGGGAAGGTCAAATTACAACAACATAGGCATTATATGTGAAATAAGGATTTAAGCAGATGATAAACAACACGTAATAGGAATTAGGAAAGCAAACGAAGGAAACCATGGTTGCGGCACTACACTAATGGCAACGACTACACTGCCTCATGACTTGAAATGCAATATTCACAATCATCCATTATTTAGTTCGTCACAAGGAGAAAGAGAAAGAGCAAGGGAAAGGACAGAGCCACATAAAATTCACAGTTCAACCATGTTCAAAAAACAAGCGGCAGCCATGCACTACCAGCTTTATAGACCACATCCAACCTTATCATAGAACTGAGCATGGACTGAAATTTGACGGATATACATCGAAAACTCAATTTTCCATCAAAATGGTAAGAGCAGGCATCAGCTTAGAATGTGATTAAATTCAATACTAGCCGCCCGCGTCTCAGACAACTATTCAATATCTTCCCTGCAAAAAACAACAGAAGCAGGTCATATTTTCCATTGATGAAAAAAAAGAATTGACAGTTTTTCTAGTAGCAAAGATTACAAAGATATAGAATCACTAATAACAGTTTTGCTCAAGTCTAATACATTAAACTTAAATATCATCAAACAAGAGAAGCATTAGTGTTTACAATAACAGTTCTCTATCAGACTAGTCCGATCCAGAAACTTTACTATTTTCCCATTTTTGGGTCTCTACCATACCTCTCCTGTAAAATTGCCCTGGCCGGAAGGTGGATATCTTGGTTGGGACCCTGTCTGTTCTTTGGCAGGATAATTCCCCTGCTCAGCCTGTTCAAATTCGTCCATGTATGATGGCTTAAAATCCTTCATATATGATGGGGTAAAATTATCACCCCCTGCCTGAGAAGTACCATGTCTAGGCACAGGCTCTCTTCTTTCTCCTTGTCCTGGTACTCCAAAGTTCTCCTGTGGCACATAATTTCTTCGCTCTCCTTGTCCTGGTGGTCCAAAGCTCTGCTGCTGAGCATAGCTTGGGGAAGCCGGCCCATATTTTTGTTGTTGCGGATAATGCTGAGATGATCGATCAAAGTTCTGTTGGGGTGGATAATTTTGTGATGCTTGACCATAGTTCTGCTGTGGAGGATAATTTTGGGATGCTTGGCCATAGTTCTGTTGGGGTGGATAATTTTGGGATGCTGGGCCATAGTTCTGTTGGGGTGGATAATTCTGTGATGTTTGGCCATAGTTCTGTTGGGGTGCATAATTCTGAGATGTTTGGCCATAGCTCTGTTGGGGTGCATAATTCTGAGATGTTTGTCCATAGTTCTGTTGGGGTGGATGATTCTGCGATGCTTGGCCATAGTTCTGTTGGGGTGCATAATTTTGTGATGGTCCATAGTTCCTTCCATCCCCTGGCCCCCGACTATTGTAAGAGGGATTCCCTTGAGGGTTTGGCATCTGATCCTCTTGCCGGTTATATTGGCCAGGACTCCTATTTCGATCTCGTCTTCCTTGATTTCTCCCATACTGTATCGGTGGAGGTCGAGGGATAATTGTTCCATTAATGTATTGATCTCCTGGTTATCACAAACAAAAGGTTGCTTACAGAAATATCCTTGCAATCAAACGAGTAGCCTAAAATTGAAGTGTGCATAAGCAAGCTAACAAAGAAATCAAACTAGTATCGAATAGGTCCAATCAGCTTACTATAGCATGAGTAAATCTTTCGAAAAGAAAAACAAATCTTACCTCCATACTGCTTGTTCACTGGGTCAATATAGGAATCAGGTAGCACAAAGATGACTCCAGGAAGACCTGTTAAGAACCAGGAAATCAGAAGTCAAATTTAATTCGCTCGATTGTCATGAAATTTGCGAGCAGGAACAAATACCTTCAAATTTTTTGGACTCTTCTTCAGTCATGACAGCCTGAAAGCCCGTGTAAGTTGTAGTGCTGCAGGCATAAATTTTCTTCTTTGCCTCTTCCACACTAAAACCACATATTCAAAGAAAAAAACACTACTAAAAAATAGCACCTAATAACTTTTGACAATCTTATTTGTTAGGGTATTATGTGAATTAGCATATTTTGTATTAAATATAACTTATACCAAAATCTGACCTCAAAAAAGAATAACAAAGAGAGAGAGAGAGAGAGAGAGTAAGAGATAGAGGAACCTGATGTTGAGACCCTTGGCACAAGTCTCCTCGTAAGTGCGAACCATTTCTTCGGGTGAGGGCTTGTTGTCCTTGGGGAAGTCTATGACGAAGAGCCAGTGATTGTAGTCGCAGCCCTCGAAGAGTATGGTATCGGGACCAATCTCATCGGGAATGTTGCCATGCGAGGATCGAACGGACAGAAGGGAAATCGACGATGACCTGAAGGAACGCGATTGAAACCTAACGTTTGCCAAGTGACAGCTTGATGAGGCAGCGCGCTGGATAGGGGCGGAGAAAGACGCCGAAGACGTGTGAGAGAAGGTGCGGGGGACGCCGGAGAAGGCTCTGAGGGTGCGGCGAAGGCGAATTAACGATGACGCCATGGGAAAGTGCAGGGGTTTTGGAGATTAGGGTTTTAGGGTTTTTCTCTGCTATACTTTTGAGAGTACATTTAAGGAACAGCACTCGATGGCTGCGAATTGTTGCACCCGCGAAATTATAAGATGCCTTTTCGTGTTTTCTTTTTCGTTGTGTTTTAGGACTGAACCTTACATAATTTTTTAAAAATATATTTTTACTTGTATAAAATAAATAAAATCTGATTTTAATTTTTATTTTATTTTACTCCCTTCAAAATATAAACTTGGCATAATTGTTTTCGTGTTAGATCATTACTGAGTTGTCAAACAAATATTCTAATTAAGTATATTTAATAGTAGATTCAACTCATCTCTATCAACAGCAATAAGCTTTAATTCATCTTTAATAGTAAATTTAACTTTTGTTTTTATATTTTTATGTTTTTGAAATATTTAAACATTTATTTGATCATTTTTATTACCTTAAAATCAGACTCTGTCCAAATTCACATTATGCACAAAACGCAGCTCTCTTCTTTATAGTGGCGTCTCATGTCACTAACAAATAATTTTCAGTAATAGATTGCGATAAAAACTGACATTCCTACATGTATTAAAGATTGCATAAAAAGGTCAATAAAATTTACTGAATCAATTTCACGTAGTTCATCAAGCAAAATTATTTTTAAATTACAAATCTATTATATGTTAAAAACTTTATTTTTTACCTGCCAATTTAGGTAGTTTGATCTGACCTGAATCCTTTTAATAAAATATGCTAAAAATATATATTTTAATATTAATAAAAATATAAATATTTTGTTATCAAATTATTTTACATATTTTTTAATTTTTATCTATATTATTAATAATTATTAAATAATTATAATAATTTTTATATAATTTTATAAATAAATTTTAAAATATTAGTTAAGTATTAATTATAAATGTTTCATATTATAAAATTTTTATATATTTATTTTTCTTGATTTATTTTTTTAAAATTATTAAAATATTAAAGATTTTAGTTTTTTTTTTGTGAGAATCATATTTTGTTTATTTGAAGACACTTTATATTCAATAAATAAAGTCACAATTAACACATAAAATTGATCACAAAAAATAACACTCAAAATTTATTGAATCAGCTAAAAAAATTATTATATTTTTAAAAAGTAAATAAATATTGTCATTGTAAAAATTATAGACAAAATATTTTATATTATAAAATTTATAGATGTAAAAAAAAAAATATTTACATATTTAACTTTTAACTCATTTTAATTTAATAGAATTTATATTTAAATAAAATAATTTGTATTTTTAAATTTTTATCTTAATAGAAAATATGTGATAAATCTTGGTATAAAATTTAAACTCAATGCAATTAATATATATATATATATATATATATATATATATATATATATAATGACAATAATAATAACTATTAAATAAAAATAAAAATAAAATAATTACAAAATATTTAATTTTATTTACTTCATTAATTTGTTATTTTAAATTAATAAATACACGTAAAATTAATTATACTATAATATTAATGTAATATAGAAAAATATTACTGATACAATAAATTAAAACATATATTTATATATTACATATAAATTGATAAATTAACTAATAATTTAATTTTTTATTTACATTTTTTTATTTATGTAAATATTTTCTAATTGTTAAATTTTAAATGTATATTAATAACTATATTTTTTTAATAAAAAATCTATCTATATTTATGTCAAATTTGTTAAAAATAATTATTTAAAATTTTACGTATCTATATTTAAGTGTGTGATGTGGTATTCTAAATTTTTTTTATGGGTACCATATCCAAAAAATTAAAAATAAAATAAAATACGTAGTAAATTACAAATATATATATTATTATTGAATTTTTTATTTTATTTTTTTATCATTTTTTATAATTTTTAGTTTCAAATAAAATATAATTCATATTTAAGTAATTTCTATTTATTATTAAAAAATAATTATAATATAATATATTAATATAATAATATTATTTTATTATTAAATTTTAGTTCGTTTAGTTTTGATTGTGTTATGTTCCTATTCAAAGATTTAAACGTTTTTCAACTTGTTTAAATGTGAAAAATATAATAATTTATTATTAAATAAGTTTATTATTTAAATACGTGTATAAATATTTTTAGTTTTGAATAGAATATAATTTTTATTTATTATAAATAAAAAGAATTATAACATAATATATTAATAACAATATAATTAAGAACATAAAAAATAAATTAATATAATATTATTATTTCATTTTTAAATTTTAGTTTGTTTAGTTTTGATTGTGTCTTGATCTTATTTAAAGACTTAATTGTTCTTCAGTTTGTTCAAATGTAATAAATATAATAATTTATTATTAAATAAATATTAGTGGTTATAATTTTTTATGTATGATACCATGAAAATTTTTAAGGCTACTACAGAATTTACCTTATATTTATATTTAAAGTAACCATATCATATTTCAACTTAAATTGAATATGTAATTATTAAAAGTCATTAAATAATATCAAAACAAACAAGAATTGATTAAATTTACTAAAATAATTATTAAATGATATTTTATAAAATGCTATGTTTAGTAAAAATTCTTATTACTAATTCTTAATTAAAATAATAAATTATTAATGTACTATATTAAATTATATTTAATTTTATAACATTTTTATCATAATTGTATTTAATATTTTTGAATAATAATAATATTATTATATATACACACACATATAAACAGGTCGGCCTATTAAATTTAACAGGCTTTATAATCAGCTAGACTTAACTTATTTATTTAAATAAATCTTAAAAAATGTTTGAGCTTTATTTATTTAATAGAGGTCAGGTCAAGTCAGGCCTAAAGTAGGCTAGGCTGTAAGCCCCTGTCAAGCCACCTAACCTATTTTTATTCCTAGTTAACAACAATTTACGCTGCATCCTTTATGCGTGAATTTGTTTAAAGTTAAAATATTGATACAAAATGAAAATGAAACGGGAAAACTATGTTGCTTTTGACTAGTCAGGACTTGGGTTATTTTCTCCTAATTGACTATTTTATATTGTAATTGTCAATGTGTTTAAGTAATTATACAAAAAGCCAGATGAGATGTAGCTCAACTAGTAATGAGTGAATGCTTAATTAAAGAATTGTGAGACAATTAATTAATTAACAACAACAAAACAACAAACTAACAAGGACAATTGTGACAACTTTAAATTCGGAAGGAGTTGAAATAAAAATATATTAAAAATTAAAGTTAGATTTTATTAATTTTCTAAAAACTAAAAATATATTTATTTTTTTATAGTTAATTTGTTGAGAAATTATATTTGTATATCAAAGGTAAAGATATAAAAAAAAAGGGTAAAATAAGATGATTAATATAATGAAAAATAAATAAAAAATAATGTTATAAAATAATACTATTTAAACAATTATTTTTTTGCTTAATTGGTGCCATCTTAATTATAATGATATTTGTGAAAATATTTTGTACCATCAAATAATATTATTTGTGTATAATGCACCAAATATTATACAAAGTATTAGAACACTTCTATGAATTTTAAGAAAGAGTGGTTAACATATAGGTATGAAATTTTACATTAACAATATATTTTAAATAAGTTAAAATAAAATTATAAAATTATTTAAATATTTTATTGTATAAGCTATAAAATAATAATAATGGAACTGAAAAATGTGTTTAGGTAAAAAAATTATGATTTAACATATTTTGGTGTTTCAAATTATGTATGAATTCAAAATTGTAATTAAATTAATTACTCATGCACATTCACAAGTGTTTCATAGCGTTTTAGAAACATTTTCTTTTACATAGAGAATAGAATGTTTTGAAATAATTTTTATAAAAATTATAGAAATTTTAAGCTTATAAAACGCAAAGACAAATAAGAGCTTATAAACTTGTCCTTGTTAGTGTATATTGTTGCTTTTAACAAGTATAGTTTTAGATGTTGATTGACATTACTTAAGATGTGAGCCACAACTTAGGAACAATTGTTGCCTTCTTTTCAAGTCACAAAATATCTCTGTTAGAGTAAAGCACACTTAAAAATCATCCAAATCAAATATCATCCATGAGCTTCCATTTGTTAAAGTACTCTTTTAGTTATACCAGAGTTTCATTCCTTTGCTCAAGCATATTAAATAGTGCTTGTCTAAGTCCACTTTCATGTGCTTTTTAGCATTACATTGTTCTTGTATTGGATAAGGGAACTACTCGGACCTACATATAGAAAAATGAAACCGAATACTTACTCAGTCAATGTGAACCAATATCTCTTCAGGATTTAAAGGTAAATAACTTAATTAAGGATAATAATTAAAATATTATTTAAATAAAAAAAAGAGCCAAAGTCAAGGCTGACTCAGCAGGCCCATTAGCCCATTACAATGCCTATAAAAGGAAGGTAGGAAGTACAGGTAAAAGGTGAACTTTTCATTATTGAATACCATTTATTACTCAAAACCGAATCCTGACTTTAGCATCGGAGTGCCTTTTGCAGGTACCCTCCCTACGTCAGTGACATCAGAGAGACGTCATCACAGCAGATCAGAGACTTGAAGATTAGTGTTACCCTTGCAGGAATATTTTGGCGCCCACTGTGGCGCATGATTAGCCTCATATTTCAGATTAATCATGGTACTGACTAGAAGCCAGCAGGAAGGACATGCTCAATAAGGGGGAACCTCTCAGCAACATTTGGAGGGTGTCACACCAGATGAACCAATACCTGAAGTTGTGATGCAAAGAGGAACAGATGAGAGTATCTTAGCTGTACTGAGGTAGCTCAAAGCAGAAATGACGGAGATGAAGAAGGAGGCACTGGAGCTCTCGGCTCTGAGAAGGGAAAATGCTAACTTGAGAGAAGAGATAAGAACACATATCCCTTCCCAAACTACACCCATCATCCAGGATCAGGGGGAATCTTCGGCGTTGCAAGAGAAATCAAAGCAGGTTTATCAATTTGAAGCCAAAAAATGACCAAGACAATCTCGTTAGCCGAAGCCCATTCGTTCACCATATCCTGGAGGCTAAGCTGCCTGATAATTGGAGAGGCCTAACAATAGACAAGTATGATGGCACATCTGATCCTGGGGAACATCTAGATGTCTTTATAACCCAAGTCGGTTTGTACACCGAGAATGATTCCTTATGGTGTAGGATTTTTCCCACCTCACTCCGAGGGCCTGCACTCAGTTGGTTCACCCGACTCTCCCCTTCATCCATCAACTCTTTTGCAACACTCGCAAGATGGTTCAACTTACAGTTCACCACAAGCCGACCTCATCCCTTAACATCTCTGGCGCTGGTCAATATTTGCCAAGAAAAGGGAGAGTCACTTAGAGCATTCATGGAACGGTTTGGCAAAGTGACCTTGTTGATTCATAATTTGGAACCAGCAGTGGCTATGCACTACCTCACAACGACACTAAAGTTAGGACCTTTTGTCAATAGCATCTGCAAAAAACCACCTGTCGACCTAAACGAGTTAAGAAGTCGGGCTGCAAAGTATATGCAGATGGAAGAGTTGTCTGAATACCGAAACCAGGTGTGGATGGACCAAGGGTCTAATTCAAAAAATACAGACATGAGAGAAACTTTCAAGGCTAGGCAGGAAAATAAGGAGAGAAAAAATGAGCTTGAAAGGCCAACTAGGGGACCTAAATATCCTTCCTACACTACGCTCAATACCAATCGGTCTAGAGTACTTGACCAGGCATTGGCCACAGAAATATTGAGAATGCCTATGCCAACACTCCTCCTCGGGCAGACAAAAGCAAGGCTTGCCGCTATCATCAAAACAGGGGTCACACCACCGAAGAGTGCACAGCGCTGAAAAATAAGATTGAAGAATTAATTAAGGAAGGACATTTAAAAGATTTTGTATAGACAAATTCCATCGGTCAAACTAACAGAGGAAGAGACCGATGCCTTGAACCACCAAGGAGATCCGATGACAAAAGATTTGAACAACAGAGGAGTAGGTCCAGGGAACATCCAACGAGAAGATACGATGAACGTGAAAGGTATCCTAAAAGGTATCCTAAAAGGGTCATTAATACCATAGCTGGAGGCTTTGCCGGTGGATGACCTACCCATTCGGCCAAAAAGAGACATTTGAGGCAAGTCAGATCAGTCAACAATATCACACTCAGTAGCAGGATTCAGATTCCCCCTATTACATTTATTGATGAGGACTTTCAAGGAGTGAATCCTATACAAGACGATCCCATAGTGATAAGTATAGACATTCTCAACTGCACAGTCCGAAAAACACTCATAGATCAGGGGAGCTCAACTGACATCCTCTACTGGAATACTTTCAAGCAATTGAGGATACTAGAAGAGGAACTCAGAGAGTATCGTGAACCCCTAGTCAATTTTTCAGGAGAACGGGTGGAGACTCGTGGGTGTATTGACCTCTACACCTCGTTTGGATCAGAGCATGAAGGAAAACGCATCAAGGTTACGTACTTGGTAGTTCACACAAATACCTCGTACAACATATTACTCGGCAGGCCATCCTTTAACAAACTTAAAGCCATAGTATCTACTCCACATTTGGCTATGAGATTTCCATAAGAAAGGGGTCAGATAGTCATAGTTCATGCTGATCAGAAGACAACAAGGGAGTGTTATTTTGCAAGCTTACGTATCAAACCACTCCAAGAATATAAACGAGATGTCAACATTGTGACCCCTAGGTCTAGAGAGGACATAGATATTGAACTTGATCCTAGGACTGATGAAGGGTGTCGGGTCGAGCCTAATGAAAATAAGCAACCTTTTCAGCTCTGACCGAAGCCTGAACATGTTACTTACTTAGGAGTCGGCCTATCCAACCACGAAAAACAGGAGCTCCAAAAGACATTAATACAAAATGCTGATCTATTTGCCTGGTCGGCTTCAGACATGCTTGGCATTGATCCAACATTTCTTTGTCATCACCTCTGGGTTTACAAAGCAGCAAAACCAATAGTTCAAAAGAAAAGGAAAGTGGGAGGCGACAGAGCAAAAACAGTAAAAGAGGAGACTGCTAAATTAATACAAGCCAGTTTTATCAGAGAGGTTAGGTACTCTACCTGGTTAGCCAATGTAGTCATGGTCAAAAAAGAAAATAGTTAATGGCAAATGTGTACTGACTACACAGATTTAAACAAAGCATGCCCGAAGGATGCTTACCCACTCCCAAGCATTGATGCTCTAGTAGATGGCACAGTAGGACACAAAATTTTCAGTTTCTTAGATGCCTACTCTGGGTATAACCAAATCTGAATGTATCCACCGAATGAGGAAAAAATGGCATTCATTACTGATTCTGCTAATTATTGTTACTGAGTAATGCCTTTCGGTTTGAAGAATGCTGGGGGCGACCTACCAGAGGTTGATGAATAAAATTTTTAAAGAACAAATAGGAAAATGCATGGAAGTATATGTTGATGACATGGTAATCAAATCTGTCAAATTAGAGTACCATCTCATGAATTTAAAAGACGTATTCGGTCAGGCTAGGCGACATAGGATGCAATTCAATCTTGAAAGATGCACATTTGGTGTAGTCGGCGGTAAATTCTTGGGTTTCATGTTATCTGAAAGGGGGATTGAGGTAAACCCTGATAAATGTAAAGCTATCATCGAAATGGCCAGCCCTCGGAATGTCAAGGATGTTCAGCGACTAGCCGGATGGATTGCAGGCCTCGCTAGATTCTTGCCAATAATGGCAGAGAGGTATCGGCCTTTCATTGAATTATTAAAGAAATCCCAAAAATTTGCTTGGTCTAATGAATGTGAGGTCGTTTTCGTCCAATACAAGCATATGCTAGCAGCGCTGCCTTTGTTGACAAAATCGAAACCTGATCAGGACATGATTGTTTACTTGGCCGTATCAGATAACGCCATTAGTTCAGTTTTATTTCAAGAAATACCTGAACCAGCTCCTGTATATTTCGTCAGCAGAACACTCCAAGGTCCCGAATCTCGGTATCAATTAATGGAGAAAGTAGTGCTTGCCCTAGTCCACACAGCTCGTCGGTTAAGACACTACTTTCAGAGTCATCGGTTGGTGGTATGAACAGATTGTCCAATGTCCAAAATTTTAATAAAACTTGAGTTGGCTGGTCGGTTGGTCGCATGGGCAATAGAATTATCCCAATTTGATATACACTTTGAAAGCCAACGCCTCCTTAAAGCTCAAGTACTTGTCGACTTTGTCAATGAATTCACGGCTCAACCACATACTAGTTGGGATATGTGGAACTTGCATGTTGATAGATCATCAAACCAATTCGGTAGCAGAGCAGGGATTATACTCGAAGGCCCAAACACTGTAACAATTGAACAATCCATTCGGTTTGGATTTAAAGCCTCTAATAATCAAGCTGAGTACAAAGCCCTCCTAGCCGGCCTCAAATTGGCAAAAGATGTTGGAGTAAAACGTGTCACTTGTTGGAGTGATTCAAAGATAGTGGCCGAACAAGTCAATGGAACATATCAGGTGAAGGACTCGGTCATGCTCCAATATTACCAAGAATTTAAAAATATAGAAGCTGAATTTGACGAAATATGTGTTCGATACACCCCGAGAGCAATGAATGAACAAGCCGATAAGCTTACTAAGTTGGCTAGCCAAAGAAAACCTGGCCAATTACAAAGCGTAATTTGTAACACCTAAATCACTACCAAGATCCTATCTTCTAAAAATATATTTTGAAGGTTTCCTGAAAGTGGTGTACCCAACCGAACATGAACAAGGAATCATTCATTCGACATTAGTGTGAAACTAAACAACAAATTCACAATTTAATTCATAAATAAGTGTACATTATCCTTTAATCCTTCATTCAAATTTATTCTTCACCAAAACATGTATATTGAATTACGTTTTGTTAGCATACTTAGAATTTTGTTATTGTTCTACATTTCCTCAGATTAATTTCTTTTATGAAAAGAAGAAGGTAAGCGCCCAACATCACATGCTTCATGGAATGAAATTTTGAAATCATAATGAGAGACATGTAAATATAGAGAAAATACGGTTGTGTGCATATATGTCTCTAGTTCAAACGGTCCAAGGTAAAACCATAATGAAACGAACAAAAAGATGACCTCATAGTTCTGTATTTCAAAAGTAATTATAAACAGCCCCAAAAAAAAGAAAAAAAAAGAAAGAAGGTATAAAACTTAAGAGCAGTGTTCATCCATGACAAGGCAAAATAATCATCTACAAATAAAACTCTGGTGGAAAGGAATCCTTACTAGGGTCGGATTCCATTCCATCAGAATCAGGTGAATCATCCACAGGCTGAAGGCGAGGAGAGGGTGGCAGGTCGTCCGGGTCGCTGTCAATCCAACCGATGGTAGGTGGTGGTGCTCTCGAGGTGGATGGCAGTGGCGGTGAAGGGTGTTGGGTGAAAGGTCCAGCTTCGTCAGAAGGGGGTGCCTGAAGGTCGAGAGAATAATGAGGTACTGGCCTGACGGAAGACGCAACCACTCCAATGTCTTTCCATTCAGGGGCGGGCGCAGGAGCAGGGCTAGGACAGGGGCTAGGTTCGGGGTCAAGGTCAATGATAGTCTTACCTTTGTCCACGAAAGTCTTAAGACGTTTGACAGGGGGTTCTTGAGACGATGGGGAAGAGGGAGGTGTGTGAATAATAATACTCCGTTATGGTGGTAGGGGTACGGAGATTTCGGCAAAAATGTGGTCGATCCAGTTTGGCTTCCATTCGCTCTCAGTGAGAGGTCCCATGGACATGGAGACCACCCCTGGTACATCAGGCGACGTGTTGCTGGGTCGTAGACCCATCCCTCCTTTCCTCCCGAGTCCTCTCCCCAAATCCTCGTTCGGAGTGGGTCCATCTGCCATGCATTCATGCAACATAACAACAACAGCAAGACAAGACGCAACACCGAAACAAAAACAAAAGGGTAAGTTCAATACATTCCTTCATCAGATATCGAATAAGTAAGAAAATCAGCGTAATACCAACGAACCTACTGACTCATAGTTCAATAATCACATTATCATAACATAATACACATCAAACAGCCACAAAACACAAATAAAATAAATGAGTTCATCATAACATAATTATAACAAAGGTAATTAAAACGTCACTACTTCTTCTATTCGTCTTCAACTTTTCCCCAGTCAAGATGATCGAATGCCCTCATTCCCTACAAGCACATTTCGTATTCAATCCTTCAGGGACATTTCCCTTCTTCACAAATTTTAATTCCTCAGGAATGAGTCCTTCCAGATCCTGGTAATGCTTGCTCGCGTCAGGATTAGTGGAGGCTTTGATGGCAACGTGTCCCGGCCGCAGTGAGTTATTTTGCGCTATTAGGGCAACCCCCTCCACTACCCCCAAGGTTCTTCCCTTGAATCTGAACACTCACATCCCTCAGCTGTGCTAAACTGTGATCTTGACTCTCCAACCTTCCTATCATGCGCGTAAAACAGTTTTGTATTTGCATCCTCCTCACACCATTTTTGGAACACGCGTTTCATCCTCAAAGGTCACAAATCACATAACCACTCACGCTCATAAGAGCTAGCACGTACAAAGAAGAGAAAAATCGTTCATCCACGGTCTAAGAATAAAAAGAAAAAGAAAGAAGATGGAGATAATAAAGAGAATTTCTTTGAATCGTCATAGTCAAAAATGTATTTCCACAAGCAAATGATCATCAAAGAGTCATAGAAATAACCACAAACTTAATCATACATGCAACTCATTTTTACCACAATTCTTTTCATAAATTAGTGATTTGATAGTAGGAAAAGTCTATCATGGTTAAGAAAAGGGTTCCTTGGTCACGCAACGTCAAACCGAGAAA